GACACTGACAAACCGGTAGATTTGTGGTTTATTTCTCTTTTTCTTTGTGTATTCTCTATTGGTTGGGTTTGTATATGTATTTACTTTAAAATAATATATATTTGTCGCCCTTGGCGTTATATAAAACTTGTTTTACAAATCTCTGTCGATTGTTATCCTTGATTTTTGCTCTGTGCTAGGGAATTGAGTTTCTATAGACATATATTGCTTGAAATATTATCTAGGATGATTATCTAATTGTGTCTGAATTCTAGAGATAGATTTAGCAATGTTATTCACTTAGGGTGTCTGTGATTAATGCCTCTATGTTGTTTGTGTCGCTCTGAGAGATCGTCGATGCAAGCGAGTACAGTTGACTTCTGTGTTGTTGAGGTGGTTGAGAGATCGTTACCGATGTAATGCAGTCGGCCTCTCAATTTGGGTTATAAATGACTTAGATTGTAAGTGACATGTGATGACATTGATGAATATTGTAGTTTTAGTATAACAGATCGATAGGTTTAAGTCTATGAGAAGTAGTATATATGCATGTTTGATAAGTTATTCCTTTTTCCTTTTTATACATTTATTTTCTGTTGATAGACTTTTCTTTTCAACCCATTTATCCCCAAACTCATTAACGAGAGATTTTTCGAATGACATTTCAAAATACCGATCTCTATGGACACGATACAATATAACCTATATCACCTGGTAAATTAATAACTTACTTTTTGCTTGTCGCTATACCGCCTCAACAATATTGAACTGGGTAGTTGTTGAAACCTTCTGGTGTTTGTTCACCAAGAAGTGTTGTACCAATTTTTTGGTTAAATTCTAGTAGCTCACCACGGACAGCCGAGGAAGACTCATGTACCACCTCAGAGCCAAATCTTTGAAAGTGTCTGCCATGAGTTTTCACTTTAATGAGTCGGTGTGCCCTATTATTTTCATCTGATTATTGATGGCGATAATATGCTCCTGGGGTCTGTTTTTCCATTAAAAGACGTGAGAGACAGTGACTTAAAGTTCTCGGGAACCTGGTTGTTCCATATCGCCTGTGACAGTGGCAAGGGCTCAAGAATCTCCTCTTCGTGTTCCCCGTCCGTTATGCTTTGTTGTTGCAGGATTTGCACACTATCCTATAGTATTTCGTTCAGTTGTCGGAGAGCGTCCACCATGGCCAGTAGTTGGGCCATGTCTGGAGGATCCCCATCAATGAACATTCTTATGAATATGATGTGTGGCCTAGGAAAGTTTTACCGAGGCCCCACGGTAGGCGCCAAATGTTCCTGCAAAAAACACTAAACGAGTGGCTTCCTTGTAGGAACAAGGAGAACCTCAACAATGGTAGTTTTCTGTATAATTTGGGGGATTTGGGTGTTACGTCAGTAGTGTGTATTGACCCAAGATGAATGTCTTGCTTATCCCTCTGACAGGAGCCTCTTTATATAGTCTTCTTGTTGCACCATTAAGAGCCTCATTCAAGAGGTGACTCTTTGGCTTCTAAACCATATAATTGTCACTGCCACCATGAATGAGTGCATTCAAGACCGTATAACGCTGGATTTAATGTGCCGACAACCGTTACAATCATTAATGGGACAGGTTGCTAGTCGGCTACGATCAGATGGACTCCAGTTACATGCGATATCCGAGTTGGTAACATAGATGGGTTGCTATCCGTATATAATGATTGTCTTCCTTGACCTTTAGTTGAGTTATACCTCATCCCAGACACTCTTTGTCTTTACAGACTATATTCTCGCTTTGTTCTTTTTCTAGACGACTTTATGACTGAGTCACAACTAATATTTTTGGGATGTACATATATATTCTTGAATTATATTCAAGTGGAATAGAAAATCAAATTTGTTATATCTTGGAACTCAAGCTAAGTTAAAAATATTATTCGAAGTTATATTCATAATTTGTATTTGTTCACCAAGTGTGTGGTGACATTGTCTGTAAGGAAAATGGTTGTACTTTCTACATGTGTTTGCAAATAGAAAGTGGTGTTTCTTCTATTTGTTGGAAAAAGGTCCTTTGAATTAGTTTGATTCAAAATCCACCATATGTTTGGTATTTATGTTAGAAGATTGTAAGAGAGATCTTTGTTTAAGACTTGTACAAAGATCTAATATATTAAAATCTCTCACGAGGTTTGGGGGAATTAGACATATCCTTGTTTGAAAAGGGGAACTAGTATATATATCCTTGTGTCATTTATTCTTTACTGCATTTTATTTTTTTGCTTTATCATTCATCTCATTATCATATCTTCTGGAAAAATAAAAAGAACCATAACATCGTATAAAAATGAAAAAAATCTTAAAACATAATTTACCCTCACCCCCATCTCCGAGGTTTCACTTTATACTTACATCTGGGTGGATCCAAAAAATATATCTAACAACATCTAAGTTATCTCTTCTTCTTACACATGATTTGCATCCTCTATCATCTTAAACAAATATTGTATCTCAATTCTAAAAACTCTTATCAATTTTTGTAACTTACTCTTATGTGTATATATATATTTGTATAATTTGGGTGACATTCTCCGGATCTCACTCTTGCAAGGAAAGTAGTATGTCTCAGGGTGAAACGTAACACTTTGTCAAATCAACAAGATGTTTCCACTCATTTGCACTTAAACGGTCAACAAAAGCATGACCTTCAAATCTATCAAGTAAATCGTAGTTGTGAAGTTCATATTTTACATCGAATGTCCATCTTGAACCATCTTTATACAATTTTGATCTAATTTTGAAGTGACTTGGTCTGGAAGTTATCTTGAACCGCCCGTGCTCGCCCAACGAACCTATGTCTTCGCCTAACGAGAATGACTTAAAAAGGTTGTCCTGTTTACGTCCTATCTTGGTTAGGCGAGCCCTTTCTTTGCCCTAACAAGTTTTCTGCTACTCAAATTCTATATTTTGTGATTTACTTGGATGTTTTCACGAGTACTCAAGAATAATATAGTTAAAATGTGCATACAAATATTTTATCTCCTTTTTATGATAAATTAAGGGATTTTTCATGTGTTTTAAGTTAATTAGTGCTTATGTGAAATACGTAATTTTGACAAGTAGCAATTCTCCCTAACTTATATTTTTTTTCTCAAATAAAAGTAATAAAATCCTCAAAATATTTATAATAATCCCATAATGTATATTTATGGTTTATGATTTAAACTTTGAAATCAATCTTTATAATTTGGCATGATTCATTTAAATGCAAATGAGAATACAAACATCATTGCCGACCTTAATAATACGGTAACAAGAAACATATTCTTGCAATTTTAAAATGAGAATAAGAAGCAAAACGCGGTGGCATGAACAAAAAGATAATCAAATAACTATGCTGTGGCTCAAAATACTTGTGGCAATAATGATGATGAGATTGGCTTCAAGAGTACCTAGGTCTATGCAAACTTTGTTGTAAACAAACTGAGAAATATTCTCACCTTATCCAAAAGCAACCCCATCAAGGACGTAGTGGGGGCTAGTTAACATATATATTTTGATTAAGGTACTTTGTTAAAGAGAGATTGACAACGTGAGAACATGTGTGCCTTTTCTTGACTCTTTAGGGAGAACTTTAAAACATAATATTTGTGAATTGGACTTGAATTAGCTGTGCTCCACCAGAATGGCTGATTTAGCGATAACCATTATCTCTTTATATCAGAATGACAATTATGCGCATGGAGCATAACAGTTGTTGAAGTTGTGGAATTTTAGATAAAAGGATGAGAGAATATAATAAGAATGCTGAATATTATTGATAATAATATAAGAGTAGCTTGATACTAACTTGATATTTATAACCAAATAATTGCAATCAAATCTACAACTTATAATTTAAATCTAATACATATTTTAACAGTCTGAAGTATCAAGCTAAGTTTTATTAAAGTTTGTTACAAATATATCATTAAAAGAGAAAATGTAACAATTGAGACCACAATCTGAAGTACATAATTAACCTTAGTCTTCTTTAAGCACCACCACAGCACTGGCCCCAAAGAAATATTAACCCCGATATGGCAACGAATGAATGCCAAAACAAATTAACGTTTAACCATTTAGCCTAAGCAACTACTCAAAGCTTAACCACTAAACAGAAGCAAACATGCTTAGCAATAAGAAAAACCAAACTGCAAAGATATTAGGTCAGTCTCCGACACCTGAAGGCCTTATTGAAAGGTGTTACCACATTAAACCAAGCCACAACGACATTGGGTAAGCGCTCAGTCCGCCAGCCGAAGACCAAATTTAAAGGTGTAACAAGAAACAGGGCAACAAGAAACAGAAGAATAATTGCACTATCCACAATGTCCAGAATGCACAAAAAAAACAAACTAGTCTTTAGGAACAAGTACATAAGTATAACTTCCAAATATAAAGGTTTAAAGAAATTGACTCGGCTTACCATCTCTTTCTTGATTCTCTTCAAAACTTCTATTTTCTATCTAAGGTCGGAAAGACCATTGACATCACATGCGCACACTGCAACCCTGCAACTTACTAGTGAAACTAAATATCTAAAATTATTCGGTAACTAATACACTTATGTAAGATACTAGTCTTCTTTTTAGTTTTAGTAACCAAAGATACCTTGTTTTTTTATCAAGACCAAACGCAACCCTACAAAACCAATTTGTAGAGCGAAGATTGCCCCCACTTATAAAGACATGTTCAGGCCATATATTATCCGATGTGGTATTCTTAACAAAACCCTAACCATTCAATCCTCCCTCAATAACTTGACCGCATGCGGAAGATAATTTGTTTCCTAGATACTCGCTCGCATCAAGAAATATGGGAACTTAGTGAAAACCCATCTCAACAAGGATAAAATGGACATGGGAAAAAGGAGTATTGCAAACTTCAATCTAGTATTACTTTTAATATCAGATTCTTACATTTGAAAAGAAAAAATAGTTAGGATTTAGGAACAAGGAACTCCCAAAAAAGAGAATATTCTACTACTAATAAACTACATGATGTTACTTAAGTGTGTTTGATCAGAGTACCCATCAAACCAAGCATCTCCTCACTCTTGGCTGGTGTTATTTGCAACTCCAAAGTCACCTGTCAAAAAAATTAGACCAACGCATTAACAGATGTTGTCTACAGTAGAGAAGGAAGAATGGCTCGGATACGGGCTCAAAAACATGGTTAATCACATAAATGTTAAATCTTTCCAACTATTACGTAGGAATTTAAAAGAAAAATAAAACATTTATGATGTTCTCAATAATAGTTGAAACAAATTAGTTGAATTAAAGTGGTTATTTTGTCAGAGTACATAAGATGAACTGAAAAGCTTGAATATTATATCTATAAGAAATGAGAGTAGAGTTGATTTATAAAAATAATTGAGACTGATATTGATTTCAGAAAAGGATAGCTAAAATTGCAATAACAACTTGATTGTAATACCTTCTTAAAGAGAACAGAACATAAGTGTTTTCTTAAAACTTAAAACAAAATGTGCTGACCTCTTTGAAAATGTTGCTATGTGAAGCTTCCAGAAACCCCAATTTTCTGAACAAGTTGATGGATTGAAGATTTGATTCTCCAATTTTGACCTGAAAGATATTGATCCCTAAGTTGTGAATAGCAAAGGCCATCATCATGAGAACAGACTCCTTTCCAAGTCCTTTGCGACGGCTATGCCAACACCAATTATACATGAATAAGTCAGGAAGCAACTAGTTAATTCATGTGATGAATTTCAAAATAGTTTAGTTTACCTGGATTGTTCAGCAATCATAATTTCAATCTCAGCGATTTGAGGATTATTGATGTCGTTCATAAAAATATTTACGTCACCAACCATGGCTTGGACGTGAGGTTGGCCGTGTGAGAAGGTTCCAATAAGCAAATCCTTATCCAAGATAATGAAGGTCTCTTTGTTGAGATCAGATGACCATGAAAGTTGCATCTGATACTCTTGCTCGAGGGAAAGAGGTTCGGAGGCAGTAGCTTGAAGGAGAGAAGGGTTTTGCATCCATTCATGATATTTGGGAACATGGGATTCCATATAAGGGACTAATATAACCTTCTTTCCCTCTAAACTCACACTCCCTTTCCTGCTCCTCGTCGCCGCCATCTGCTCCGCTACGTTGCTCCACGCAATTTCTCCCGCCCACTTTCACAATCACAATCACTATTTTGATATTTTTGGGCATTTCTTTTTTAAAAAGAATCTTTCGTTTTGGAGTAAATTCACCCATTTCTACTTTTAATTAGGTTGATAAAAGATTTTTTTTAACAGCGTATAATAGAATTTTAACATGCCTTAAATCTAAACAACTCAAAAAATAAAATAAATAAAGATAAATTACAACAACAAAAATAATAAAATAAACTCAATCACAATAAAAATAAAATAAAATAAACGATGTTTATCATTTTAATTCTATTTAAAAATTAACTACTAAAGAATTCAATTAAGATTTTACACAAGATAAATATTTATAACAATTACGATGCATAAAATATCACAATACATAAAATAGTAATGCACGGAATATCAACAATTCACTTTCTCACTGATTACATAATATAGACTATTATATTGACGAATTCCTTAATAATTAAATCTTAAATTTGTCACACGTATACACTAATCAAATCTTTTATTTTCTTAAAATCAACATTTATTTCTAAAGAAAACATGTGAGATAATGTATTGACAACTTAATAATTATGCATGACATACAATTGTTCTTTTATTTTAAGTTTTTTCGATCAACGTATATATTAAAAGGTTATAAAAAGAATGTTGAACTTATAATTCAATTTGTCTGTATAATAATTTAAAATACAATTCAATTAGCATAATCCTAAGAGAAGAGTGTTGTTTTATAGTTAAAGTTGTTTTAATTCTAAATAAATTTTTTTTAACAAAAAGCCTGCGGAAAAATTCTGCCCCACCTCGACCCACTGTTTTAGAATGACCAAAACTTGAATATTCAAAACTTAAGTCTATAGAGTCTTCAGAACTCGTTCATCCATAACTTTATCTTTAGAGTTTTCGGCACTTGGTCTTAAGAAGCGGTGTCTTCAAAATCTTCAGAACTTGTTCTTCTAGAACCTTGTATTCAAAATCTTCAGAACTTGGACATACAAAATCAGAGCTTAAGAAGGCCTCAGAAGCTCTCTCAAAAGAGTCACTATCAGAATCTCTATTATTGACGTTCATCAAAACCATTGTTATAGAAGCATTCCAAAATCTTGATCGGGTCTTGTAAACATCACTGGTTTCTTTCAAAGTCAGAGTGTGTGTGAGTCCAGAACCTGACGATGTCACACGCCTTATCTTTATAGTCAGAAATTGTTAGAAAAAGCTACACACTAGACAAAAACCATTAGAGTACTAAATTATTCTCTAAGATATCATGTAAGGTTATCATCAAAACTCAAAGTCAGATGCATAACTAAATCTTGTTCTTACAATCATTTGGTCGTATCATTACATAAATCACCCATCTTGTCAATCTAAAATATACACTAGAGAACCTATTGTGATACCTAAATAATCGAAGAATTATGAAATTTTATTATCGTTCACTCTTGCTTGACAACTGATGGAAGATACAACTTAACAAAAGGTCTGATCGAGGCCTCGACCCACTTTTTTAGAATGACCAAAACTTGAATATTCAAAACCTAAGTCTACAGAGTCTTCAGAACTTGTTCATCCATAACCTTATCTTTAGAGTCTTTAGCACTTGGTCTTCAGAAGTGGTGTCTTCAGAAACTTCAAAACTTGTTCTTCTAGAACCTTGTATTCAGAATCTTCAGAACTTGGACATACAAAATCAGAGCTTGAAATTTTATTATCGTTCACTCTTGCTTGACAACTGATGAAAGATACAACTTAACAAAAGGTCTGATCGAGGCCTCAACCCACTTTTTTAGAATGACCAAAAATTGAATATTCAAAACCTAAGTCTACAGAGTCTTCAGAACTTGTTCATCCATAACCTTATCTTTAGAGTCTTTAGTACTTGGTCTTCAGAAGCGGTGTCTTCAGAATCTTCAAAACTTGTTCTTCTAGAAACTTGTATTCAGAATCTTCAGAACTTGGACATACAAAATCAGAGCTTAAGAAGGCCTCAGAAGCTCTCTCAAAAGAGTCACTATTAGAAGCTCTATTACTGACGTTCATCAAAGCCGTTGTTATAGAAGCATTTATCACTACATAAATCACCCATCTTGTCAATCTAAAATACACACTAGAGAACCTATTGTGATACTTAGACAATCAAAGAATTGTGAAATTTTATTATCGTTCACTCTTGCTTGACAACAAATGAAAGATACAACTTAACAAAAGGTCTGATCGAGGTGGATGAGACAATTACAAGATCTATCAAAGATATTATAAAGATGTTGAAACATCCTCAACCATCTCTTATTAATGAAATGTAATGTTAAATTTAAGCTAATAAAATTCTATGTGATGGTATATGTTTTATTTATGCCTTATCAAAGATTTGTGTTAATTTATGTTGTTCTTTCTATTACTATAATTGTTTTTTGTGTCAAATAACATGGATGATTTCGATAGTTAACTTCTGTAAAAAAATGCGGAGATTAACCTCCTGATTATTTCAACTCTTTTTCTTAACTTGAGTGTTATATTTGACTGTGGTTTCTTTTTTTAATGTACCAGAGATTAAACTCCAAATTTTAGGTTATTAATATTTTTTCATTAGAGTGAATGAGCACCATTAAAGGTGCAAAGAACAATGTCATACAAAATAAATGATATAAAATGAGACTTATATAAAACTCAAACATGTAAGTACGAAGTGCGCCTAAGAGGGGGGGGGGGGGGATTAGGTACTTTAAAATTTTTCTGGTTTTAGTGATGATGAATATTATTTTTCTGGTTTATGGTGAGTTTATGAAAGAGTAAAGTGCATAAAAATAAAGAGACACTGGAGATATATCCTAGTTCCCCTCACAGTCCGAGAGTACTCCAGTCCTCTTTCAACATGAAAGAGATTTTCTTATTGTGGCAAACTTAAACAAGAACTACCCAAAACCAAGAACAATCCTCTTGGATTTTCACTATGTCAATAATGAGAACAATCCTCTCAAAGTGACTTTACTTGTATTCAACAATCCTGAAAAAAAAGATTACAAAACCACTTGAACTTATTTTCAACAATCCTGAAAAATAAGCAAGTATATAACAATATTTGATTTGAGTGAGTTTGTATAGAAATTATCACTTTGAGTGATTTTATCAATGAATTGATCTTCTCTTCCAATAACAATAGTATACAATGACTCAAGATATATAATGCTCAAAGTTTTCTGGTTGACAATATGTGAAAGTATGCAGAAAACTTGTGTATGAAAGTGTATAAAAGCTTGAGTTTGATTTTTGAAAATTCAGAAATATGATTGGAAGAGGTACTTAAAATGACTTTGAAAATGAGTATTTATATGTTCATAGCACCCTTTTGAAACAACATAAATTTATGCAAATGAATCATGAACAATTTCCAAGATTCAATGAAAAGTTTCCATGAAATGGTGTTATGAACAGGCATGAGTAAAGCTGTTGTTTTTCAAAATCGTTCAGCATGCAATCGATTTCATCCTTGTGTAAATCGATTGCACAGGGTTTCAACAGCTAAAAATTCAAATATTTTGAGTGAGCAATCAATTGCATAAGTGTGTAAATCGATTGCACTTGAAGTCAGTAGCAAAAATTGATTGAGAGCAATTGATTGCACAAACATGCAAGTCGATTGCACTTAGAAACAGTAGCAAATGCTTTGAAAACATGAAGCATGCAATAGATTGCACCAATATGCAAATCGATTGCACCCAAGTAAAAATTGAATTTTTGCTTAGAAAACTTGAGTAAAAGTTTGGACAAGATAAAATATTTCTTTTGACCATTGAGCATCTATGTCTTAAGTTCAAAGTAAGTATTATCATTATACCTTGAAATTTGCTAACTGCTTAACCAAAGACTTTATCTACAGATGCTTTTAGCTTGATCAATAATCTTTTCCTTTTTATCAAAATGGTTTGTCTTCATCAAAACAAAAGTGAATTTGAGAAGCTTGATTTTACATTCTTCCCATTTTTGATGATGACAAACGATCTTGCTTGATGCGTTGTAATTTTAGGAAAGAAGCTTCTCCCCCTAAGATGCATAACTCCCCCTTTGTATGAGAAGGTTGGGATCCCTTGAATTTATTCATCTTGGTTGAAGAGTACCTTAGAAATTCAAGACAGGAAATATACAAGCATAAAGTGCCACATCCTTCTCCCCTTTTGACACTATCAAAAAGAAGGGAAAGATGCAATAAAAATGGACAATAATAAAACAACATTGAAAAAAAGACTTAAGCAATCATGCATAAAAAATAGTCATAGACATAGTCATAGTAAAATAACAATTACAAAGAAATTTGAACAACAACAAACAAAAAGTAGCATAACAAAACAAGGACATAACATAAAAACAGTAGAAATAACAAAGTTGGATAGAATTTTATGGTTGATTCATGTCACGGTTGTTATAGAACCAGGATCCTTGATTGGGAAATTGTTGTTGTAGAGGAGGTTCTGTGTAATGTGGTGGAGGTGCAACATGATTATTAGGGTCATATGGAGGTATGTGAAGGTGAGAGTAAAGGTAGGAAAATTGTTGGTTCACATTCAAGCGAAAATCATTAATCTCAGTCGTTGTGAAGTCGTTGATAGCATTTTGTTAGTTGTTGATGTTGGTGTTGAGTGTAGCAAACTGTTGAGTCATGAAGTTAATTACATCTTGATTAATTGGACCAACAGGAGCAGGTTGAGGAGGTACAACTTCACCACCTTCATCTTCTTGATCGCTTCCTTCATCACCAACCACATCTTCACCAATGTACGTTATAGTTTTCGATTCTGATTGTAATGAACACCCATTCTCGAATCAACATTTTTGATGGAGATCTCGTGAACATTTGGATCCATATCAACTCTTTCAAAATCAGCAAAATCAACTCCAAATTCTTCCATACTAATGTAACAAAGTAAGCATATGGTAGAAATTTTGATTTTGCATCAACCCTTAGCATATGAACCATTATC